CAAATCATTATACTTCTTAGATGAGTGGTTTTCAACTTTCCTAATGATACAACCATTTAATACAGTTGCTCATGTTGTAGTGACCCCTCAAAATCACCAAAGTATTTTGGTGCTACTTCATAACTTAACATTTCTATTGTTATGAATCATAATGTAAATATTTGTACATTCTTATGGCCTTGCGTGACTCCTGTGAGAGGGTTATTCAACCCCAAATGGATCTTGACCCACAGATTAAGAACCATTCCTTAGACATTTGATTATCCCCTTCTTTTCTGGTTCTGTCTATACTTTTGCTACACATATTTATATACAAAGGAACACACATACATATACATATGTGTATAGTTTACATACACACATAAACTCGCAACATATACAAGAGTTTATATCTAGGAATCATATATGAAAGAAAAATACCTTTTCATTTTCTGAGCTAAATTTTTGGGGACGCATGATGGATAACAAGGTACTAATAAAGTGTTTAACCCTTTATAATCCAAAGTGAGTTCTTTGAATCTGCCAGCAAAAGTTAACATACTCATTGTAAACTTTATTCTCACACGTTACACACACTGAGCAACAGATAGCATGGGTTATGTGTGCCTGTGGTTCTTTGTATGTACACAAACATGAAACCACTCAAGTTATTTTATTACCACATTCTTTACATTATTTGTATGTGTATATGTTGTATTCATCAGTGTTGATGTGTGTATGCCCACACACATGTGGATTTCAAGGCCAACTTCAGTTGTTTCTGTGTTGCCATCAACTTGATGTTTTGAGACATTATCTCCCAGTGGACATAAATGTCTCCATTTTGGTTAGAATGGATGGTAATAACTGACACCCTCCAGACTCTGTATACATCTGCTCCACCCCAGTATTGACATTACAGGCTCTCAAGACCGTGCCTAACTTTTATATGAATGATGGGGATCCAAACTCAAGTACTCTGCTTGGATAGTATGCATATTATCTTCTTAACCATGTCCCTAGCACCAAGATGGCCATACTTCTTCAATGTTGAGCCAAACTTGCCATTACCATGGCTGCCGCCAGTGTTATCTTCTAACGCAGTTTTAGTAAGACCTCTGAATTCAGGTTATTTTTTGCAATTTTCTTCAGTTCAGTTTCACTAACTGACATTGTAACATTGTAACAGACATTGTAACTTTCACCCAAACTTTTTCTGAGAATCTTACTTCTCAGTTTTCTAAGGATACCTGAAATCTCTGACTTAAGGCCAATTCAAACTGGCTGGCCTTCTCTCTGGCTCCACAATGGATGGCTTTTGAGGTAAATGTTATGAATAATGTCATTAACAGAGTTTTGTGATATTCTGGAGAAGAGGGAAGAGACCAGATTCTCAAAGAGAACACAATCCAGGACACATCAAGACATTGATTGGTCTCTCTCAATAGGCTTTCTTTCTTTTATGCAATCCGGACTTCTGTGAGAAAAGAAAGCAGGGCTTCCTATAAGATAGCTGTGAGGATAAAAGAGAGAACTACTCCCCTGACAGCTCATAGTGTGTTACCATTGTTTGCACAATCCAGGTCATGATATAATATACACCCTCTCTGCGATTACAGCCAATGACTAATTATTGCAGGCATTGAGTCAGTTCTGAGCCTCAGACATGGACTTCACTCCCCACAGGTGATTGATGCTGCTGACACCCTTGAATCCTGAAGCCCAAGGCATGCAGGGTCATATTCTGGGGTATAGTAAAATAGAAAACAGCACACTTTTCTGAGGTAAAGGAATGTGACAGAATGGGTGTATAGCAGTATGTGTCTGGCTTCATTCAATAAGGCACAAGTACAGAATAGATGCTGACCAGCAGTTTAACCTCCTTCCTCACTCACAGTTTAAGGGAATCCATTGTGCCATTCTATATAATACATGTGCTTGTCACCCTTGCCTAGGCTGACTATAAACTTTGGTGGTCTCCGAGGGGAAGAAACTCAATTATCTTGATGCAATACAGATGAATTCTCAAGAGTGCCTATACAAGGAATAATTTATTTTATTTCTTCTCCTTGGGATTTGCCTGGTGTAAGCAGCTGTACCCTAGGCTCCCAGTATGACAAAGATCAGAAATTATAATGGAAGAGTGGTGGCAATTGAGAAACAAAAGCCCGTCTAAGAAGGCCTTGGATCTAGTGCCTCCCTCAAGTGCAGAAGAAGGGGTAGAAAGATTGAAAGAGATTCAGGAAGTTTTCTGGGAGACTGTGTCTTCTAGATATGTCAGGAAAGCTGCACACATGAAAGCTCAACAATATTGCTCTCCAAACAAAACTGAAAGACAATTCCAGATGATCTCACCATGTATGAGGGAAATATCATAAGGCCCAACCCCTAGACAAAGAGCTACAAGCAATTGATGACTGATAAGTGAGGGAAAATTAGACTTCCCCAGAGATGAGACTTCCTATTTGTTATTCAATACCAAGTGGTCAGCCCTAGAAGTACAAAAGGATCACTAAACAGACTGAAGCAGTTATATTTTAAGATTTATTTGTTTATATGTTTGCTTGTGTGTGTGTCTATGTATGTATGTATACAAAAATGGAGGGAATACTAGCAGTGGGAAAGAAGAAAAGGGATAGGGAGATTGAGAAAATGAGAGGCAGGAATCAGGGTAAAGGAGTATGAAAAATCCATACGATCAATCCACTATGGGCTGTTCTCTTACATATATCATAGGATCTATCAGTTGACAGTATCTTTTTAGCTATAGGTGGGATACACACACACGTGTGCACACACACATAACACAGAGACACACAGACAAACACACACATAGTCACACAGACACACAGACACACACACACACACACACACACACACACACACACACCAGGTACAGGAACAACAGTTGAACTAGAACTCTGGGGTCCCTCAACACTATCTTCATCTGCATTTCTTAGTCATTTGAATTCACTTTGCAGATTCAAAGCCAAATATGTTTTTATTCCTGGCTCCACCCACACCCACAGAAAGGTAATGCAAGTGCATCACAGGGAACCTCAGGTGGAGGAGATCTTGAAAGGGCAAGTGAAAATGACTATGTTGGTGGAGGGGGCAGCTGGTACAGTCCAGGACTTGGATGAAACTGAGTCTCTCAGGTAGTGAAGATGCTTTGGGGTTAGTCAGCTGTAATTCAAATCCTGTACTTCAATCATTAAAACATTTCTTAACAGCTATCCCAACTTCACACTCTGCAATAAGCATGAAGGTTTCTTCCTGATGTTGTAGTCAGGAGTCTGGATTACATATAAACCTCTCATAAACGAGTGCAGCCAAGTATCTGAACCTGAAATCCATTTATTCACTCCCCATAGCAGGATTCCAGTTTCCTACTTAAATATCTGTGCATGCTCATAAAAGCCATTTCGTCAGTCCACCAGGGGATGTACCCTTAAAGAAAACCGATTCTCAATCTCATAGAAACTGTCAGTTAAGAATATTTTCTGAGGTAAGATGAGACTTCATGCCTCCGCTCTTCATGTTGGCCTTTTGTCTAGTTCAAGCTTGTGCAGATTTTATGCATGCTACCTCAACTGCTGTGAATTTACAGGTGCAAGTGCCCTGCTCTGTCCAGAAAACACCGTTTTATTGCAGTCATCCACTACCACTGGTTGTCATAACCTTTCCATTTGTTATTCAACATGTGTAGGGAAGGAGGGATGGATCTAGGAAGAGTCAGCTGAGTGAATTAATATGATGAGTATACTCTGCACAATTTCAAAATGATAAAAATGAAAGAGAAAAAAATAGAATAAAATCTTTACAGTAATATACAATCGTGTAAACAAGCTTAAAAATCAAAAGGGAGATACCGTACATGACTGGAAAAAGCTCTCCTGGAAACTATGGGTTAAAAAACTAAGTGAACAAAAACTCCAGTGCCAGAACAAGGATTGCTCATGAGCTGGTGATCAGGGAGCCCTTATGGACTCAATAAAAACTCAGGTTCTTGTGCTCGCTTTCAGTTGCTCTTCAGAATGAAGTGATAACACCTGATTGCTGAAGACATCACTCATTATAGTAGTTGAGACGAAGTCATGAAGATGGCACTGTGTTGGAAGCCTGTTTCCTGATTGGTAGCATTCATAGTGCCAGAAGATGCTATGCAGGCTGTTGGGGGAGAAAAATAATGCACAGGTGTGAATCCAATTATGATAACAAACTGCCAAGAACAATATGGAACAGTAGCACAGATGTTATGCTCTCTGATTGTACTGGAAGTTAACTCAACAGAAAGGTTTCCAAAAATGGCATTGTAAACCCACTCAAGTTCTGTGAATGAAGTCGTATGACATGGGCAAGGGAGTGGGGTGCTGATTTCTGCTGTTTAGTTAAATTTAAAAATCACTGGACCACCTTCTAAATACATGTATTTATACTCGCAGACAGTAAACTCTTTTGGCTTTAATCAGAGAGTCTTTTATTCTGTTGAAGTGCATTCAGAGAGGTATAAGCTATACAAGGTATTGAGAACAAATGAATGTAGAGTGTCCATCACTAAATATGTATCTCCTCCTAGCTTCTAGAAACATTGCAAAAGAGAATAGAAAAGCCAGAAGACAGGTTAAGTGCTGCAAAATGCCATCTTCTGTGTAAGATACAGTCACTGCAAGCTCAAATTGATAACTATGATGACTATGCTGAGTCTTCACAAGACTGGGCCCACCAACAGCAGGAAAGATTGAAGGAGGAACTGAGGTGGGTCTGTCTCTCACTTCTGAATTGCTTTCTATATGGAAATGCAGAGTCAGTGCCTTCAGCTGTGTTCCATTGTTGAGGTCACCAGGCTACAGTGAACTGTCCCAATGAGGTATGTATTGAGGTAGGAGAGAGATAACAGTATCAGAGATGGGGGGGAAGGTAACAAGAATGCATTCTATCCGTGTGTAAAACCACCAGAGAACTAACTTAATAATGAAAAGGGAGAAATAATGTAAAAAAAAGTGTCTTCAAATGACTGATCACAAAATATCAGATTCTGAGATTGCTTGAAACTCTGCTCTCCTAGATGGTCTAGAGTGAGCCGTATCTGTCTGGGAGCTGGTGGGATGAGGCTCCTGCAGAGAGAGGGACATGAGGTTATATAAGGTGGGCCACAGAGATACACGAAGTGTCTTATAATTACCCAGATAAAAGATGGTGGGGCCTTGGCAAAGACTGCACTTAAGGGTAGTGGGGCTCAGACAGTCATGATTTGTCCCTATTTCTCCTATTCCCACTTGGACGGTAATAGAAAACTCACCTGAGCACAGATTGTAGAGATGGGGGAAAACCTGCAGTTGGGTTTCATGCCTGGGACCTTGAATCTCACAACCCACTGATTTTTGGAGGATGAGGACTCCAGGCAGCAATGTTGAAAACATGGCCAGTAGATGCAGTGGGAGCCACAGAGGCGGGTGTCATTAAGAAGCAGAATGATGTCATTGTCACAGCACTGCTTCAAGGGGTTGTAAATATGTTCGCCACATCTGGGTGCTGGCTGGCACAGCAATGGACTAGTATCTGGGAGGAATCACAACTGAATGATCTATATGAGACAACTTTGGATCCCCTTCACAGCCCATTCCCTCCCTCTTCACTTTGTGGTCCATTCTTACCCATAGTTACTGCTGAGTACAGGAGTGCCAGAACCAGGATTGCAGCTGAGAAAATGAAGGGAAGGAAGGATGATGCACAAGGTGCAGCCAGCAGGCCAGGATAAAGACTGGAAGGATCAAGTTAGGCTAATAGCTCAGGGTGTATTTGATACTGACCCTGAGAGGGAACCTGTGCCTGGTATGTGTGTGGAGATGCAGAAAGGGCTCAGAGAAAAGGGAGATTTTTGAAAGTCACAGACAGGAGCCATTTTAACACTGTCAGAGAGGCCAGCAAGGATTATGGTGTGTGTGTGTGTGTGTGTGTGTGTGTGTGTGTGTGTGTGTGTGTG